TTACTTCGAACATCCCCGCCCTACAGATAATGCACTTGCCAAGCCTATGAGAGTCTCACGGTAGTCTGTTGGGATTGGGCACTCCAGGGAGTCTCACGGTAGTCTGTGGGGTTGGGCACTCCAGGAGGTAGTCTCAGCGGGCGAGGAGTAATAGCTGACTTTAAAATCTAACAACCCCACACCGAGGGTGGGGAACTCTAAACCCTAAACCGGTGGCTTCGGGGCTTCATGTCTTCAAGGTTTGGAGTTTCTCTTTTCCTAAACCCGAAACCCACCCGCAGTTCATGCTTTGCCTAAATCAAAACACCAAAACAACGTAGTTGAAGGCGTCCCGGATCCCCAAAGTCTGTAGAAGCATCGGCTGTTGGAGGTCCTGGGCGATTATTTTACCTAATTTGGAGGGGTTTAGGTGATGACCATGAAACCCTAAACCCTAAATCCTAAACCCTAAATCCTAAACCCTAAACCCTAAACCCTAAATCCTAACCCCTACACCCTAAATATGTTTAAGTGTGCTTGGGGCTTTGCGTAGGCTTCGGTGCACGGCTCTTTTGCTTTGGTGTACGAGCGGGTCGTACTATGGTTCCAGGGTTTATAGGGTTTAAGTTAGGGCTTAGGGTTTGGTCTCGGGTTTAGGGTTCAAGGTTCAGGGCTTATAGGGTTTAGTTTAGGGTTTGGTCTAGGGTTTGGGGTTCAGGGTTGAGGGGTGGGAGCTTTACCGATGAGAATACTGTTTGGGGGTACACTACACCACAATCCTTGATGCAAGAAGTTCTATACTAGGGGTCCGAACCCTATGCCCTCAACCCCCGAACCCTAAACCCTATACCCAAACCCTAAACCCCTAAACCCCTACGTAAAGCTCTAAAAACCTAAAAACCTAAACCCCCAAACCCGAAACCCCATACCAAAACCCTTAAGCTCCTAAAGCCCTAAACCCGAAGCCGGAGAGGATCATGCCTTCTACGCTCAGATAAGTGCCTGAATAATTAGAATAGGATATTCGGTGTATGTTATGCTATATATACATATAGCTTAAATATGATAAGGTACAGCCACGATAGTATAGGTTATTTCTAACTAAAAAATATAAGAACACCCCCCCAATTGTACTGGCTAGTTCTCATAACTAATTATAATCATATAAGCAACACCCACAATTTATTGTTGGACCCTATTTTATACCCTACGCGGTATCTTCCCGCCTCCCGCAGCGAAGCCAGGCTGTCATCCGACACATCGAAACAGATGAAGTAGCCCTGAGTTTAGGCTTTCGGATGTAGGGTTTAGGTTTCGGATTTAGTCTCAGGCAGCTTGGGAAATTACTGAAATCTACACCCCCTCCCTGGTCCTCCTCCACACCACTGCAGGTATTCAGCTCACGACATGCCCTAGCCCAGCCGCAACCCCAACACAAAGTTGGAAAGTTCCAAAAAGAATCCCAAATTCTACAAGGCCCCCAAATGCAGTGCCAGGTGCCATCCGATTTCGGGTCAGGGTCTTGTCCACATCCGGAGCACCCACCGGCCGCTCGTAGGCACTCAAAGCTGGCATAGGCTGAGGCTTCATTGGCTTCATGGACGTTTCTAGGAGGACAGATGGTGAAACAACTGAAGACTGTGATGAACAACGAAACCTGACTAAACAGGAGCAGCAATATCTTGTACAGAGACAGAACTAGCTGGTTGCAGAGATTGGGCCAAGCAAGAGCCAACCGCTAGCAGCTTCTCTGTTTACTAGCTGCGAATACCTATTGTCTCCGTTGAGGCGCCTTTCCTGCCTGGCCAACGTCATTGCTAGGGTCATGCACTATGAACTACCATGGAGACACTGTGCTGTTTAAATTGGGCATGTGCTTCCTTAGGCAGCTTACCGGCTCAGTGGGGAGAACTTCAGCAAAACCCTAAACCCTAAACCCATATAATAACACCTCTCCCGCAGCCGGCAACCTCGAAACGCACGACTATACTACTTTAGGGTTTAGGGTTTAGGGACTTGTTATACTAGTCTTCAGCTTCAGGGCACGCAGTCTGCAAAAGACAGGCGGTCGCACGTCGCTGCAAAGCCACGACGTGTTCGCGTTTCTCCTTCTGAGTTGTGTGGACCTGACCGAGAAGTCTCTCCCAAACCGGCCTATACCCTAAGGGTCCATGTACTCGTATAGCACATACATGGGCCCTAAAGTACCTATATAGGGACTACATTAAGGCCAATGTATATACTATATGAGCACATGGACCCTTAGGGATACGTTCAAAACAGCAAATGTCTTCATCAACACTCCTGGGCTGTTGCTAGGCATCTTCATTTGAGTCAATAGACAGACTGACAGATAGACGGAGAGAGAGATAGACACATGCATGGGTAGATAGACGGATAGATAGATCAGATAGATAGGCAGATGGACAGATAGACACAAGCGCCTGCCTTATCCTTCTTTTCCCCAAGCTGCAGGAACTCGTCGATGGGCAACTGAGTTGGGACAGACAGCACCAAACCCTAAAGTTTAGGGTTTAGGGTTTGGGTTTTGGGTCTAGGATACCTCGAAGAGAGGTTTGGGGGTTTTAATCAGAATACTCAAGCTTTAGTGTGTACCTTAGCCCCCCTAAATCCCTAAACCCCTAAAGCCTACCATTCAGGACAAATTATGTAAGCAAGTCATAATAGGGATGGCTCGAAGGCTTCAGGGTTCAAGCAGGGCTGAACAAGCCCTAAACTCGAAACCCAAAGCCCTAGCCCCCCAAAGAACCTAAAGCCAACCTGGACCGGAACAACAAAACAAAATATATCTTTTTCAGGGCTCCTTCATATGAAAAGCCCTTCTAACTCCTTAAGCCCTAGCGCCAGATGAGCCTGTCCAGGACCATCGAGTTTATAAAGGGGGCCCCTAAACCGAACCCTACTGATCAGGATTGCTAAGTTAATCTGAAGAATCATGAACCCGTGGACGCCAGAGGATGAAAGGAAGCCCCTGCCGTCTTCCAAATGCTCTAAGTTGTGAGCCGCAAGGGTCTAAGCAAATTTCCTGAGTGATCTCTTGAAGGAATACTAAGCAGCACCCTTATAAAGGAAATGTTGGGATTAAGGTTAGGCTAGGGTTTAGATCCCTGAAACTTGGGATTGGGGCTTAGGATACCTGTAGCCGACAAGAGCTACCTTCTGAGGGTTCCTTATTTTGGTTTCTAGAAATAGTTTCTTAAACCCTAAACCTTAACCCCTAAACCCTTTTGGGCCACAGCTAGGGTTTAGGTCTCCGAAAGCCACCCTCAAAACGAACCCTTTCGATTCGGGGCTTAGATCCCCAAACAGGCACTCTCAAAAGACTGCTTTGAAAGGAGCCTTTAGTGGAACCCCGAAACGGAGGCCTTAGAGGAACCCATAAACGGAGCCCTTAAAGGAGCCCTTCAAAGGATCCGTTGAAGGAACCCCTATATTTTTTGGGGGGTTCCTTATCATGGTTTCAGTATCACGTACCCCAAGACCCTGTTCGAATTATTAAGGCCCCTGCATGAAATGGGGGTTTCCGAACATAGGGGACCCGAATATAGTACCCTAAATAATAGGATCCTTAATATAAGGACCCCCATAATACCCATAATAAGGTACCCCTGATTTTCGGAAACTCCCAAGTAGACACTTCCTAAACCCTAAACCCTAAACCCTAAACCCTAAACCCTAAACCCTAAACCAAACCCATCTGGGCGCTGCGCTGTGAGGGAGACCTTCAGTTTCGCGGCGCCCGGGGGAAATGTCCACACGCCGCCCTCGAAAGCGCAGGGGGGCTGGGATTTTAGGGAGCTTCGGGTTTAGAGTTTAGGGTTTAGGGTTTAGGGTTTAGGGTTTAGGGTTCAGGGGTCCGCGACCTGCAGTTCTATGAAGTGGGGTTTCTGCGCGGACTCTAGGTCATGGGCGACGAAGGTGAGACAGAAAGATCAGACAGGTGCTGTTTCAATCACAGGAAAAGTGGCGATGACCTTGTCTAAAGAACTACAAGCGGCATTTGGCACGGCTAGAGTTACATAAAGCGGCAATACATTTGGGATTTTGGTGTGTGCATATAATGAAGGCTCGTGAAGAACATTTGCAACTATGTAAGTTTTGTGTGGGGGAGTCATACATGTCATACATATTACAATGCAGGAGCTAGGTCTCAAAAACCATACTGAAGATGGTCTTTTTGGGGCCTCATTCCATAATTGTAGAATACAGGGACCCTCTGGGAAACCCCTGTATCATGCAGGGCTCAGAGATTCGAAGCCTGGGCTTCAGAGCTACAAATTCCTAAGGCTCCACGTGCCCGAATGGTAGATACTTTGGCCCCGCAGTACCCAAACAGGGACCACTTTAAGGCCACAGTATACCCACCCCATTTGGGCACATGGACCCTTAAGGTTAATGGCTTGCTGGGCTACGTACTACAAAGGCCTGAATAATTCGTAACAGCGTCACCAGGAAGAAAAATGTTTGTTTGTCTCGGCGGCGTAGTAACGTAGTATTACATCTAAGTTGAGCCCTAGTAGCCCTGAAGTTTCCTGGGAGATGCAGTTCGACAGGCCCGGGGCTGTAGGGCCCGGGACTCTCAATCTTGGACGCCCACGGACTTTGGAGGGTTTGGGGTTCATCTGTAATCTAATGACAGATGAAGGAATTTAGAAGGCATCCCCAAAAAGGAACTACAATGGAGACTATAGGTAGGGTGCCGAATCAGCGGAATGCAAGAAGACGGTGGCCTTAGGTGCACAGAAACCGAGACACTACGACCCGATCCTGCCAGGCTGTCAAGCGAAAGCGACTAGGAATATAGTCTCCGACACGCTTTAATATGGGAGGGGGGGCCTGAATATTTACCTATACTATTTTGGGGGCTCCTTACAATTATAGTACAATATACCCCAAAACCCTATTCTAATTATTAAGACCCTACATTGACCATAGCCTCTACCTCAAACCCCAGCACAGCCTCAGTCCTGGCAATTTCAACCACGCTGTCACAGCAGACCTCCCTCGATGTTTGCCCAACCCTAAGGTCCATGTGCCCAAATAGTATATACATTGGCCTTAATGTAGTCCCTATATCGGTACTTTAGGGCCCATGTATATGCTATATGAATACATAGACCCTTAGGGCAACAGTTTTAGGAGCTTGGTTGTTGAGTTGCAGAGGTTTAGAGTTGACAGGTTCAGGGTGAGGGGTTCAACGCGGCAGGGGTTTAGGGATTTCAGGCAAAACCCTACACCCCAAACTGCAAACCTTAATCCCCAAAGTCTAAACCCTCAGCTGGGGGTTTGGCCTGAGGGGTTTCTGACCTTTGCGGTTTCGAGTTCTTCAGTTCCAGGAGGAGACAAATCAGGGCTTACCTTACTTCCCCAACAAGCCAGGGAAACAACAGGTTAAACTGTCTGATTACTACTTTTTTTCTAAGAACCCAAAAAGTTTAAAGGTTGAGTATTGGGAAACTAGGTTACTAGTTACTAGCACTACGATAAGCCCCGCAGCCCCAGGCGCCTCACTGCCATCTGGCGAGGGCAGGTAGATGCCACCGTCTTTGCCAATGGATCTCACGTTAAACTCCCTGGCCACCGGGAGCTTACTGGGTAAAGTTTACCTGTGGCCGAAAAAACCCTACCTTTTTAGGGTCCCCTGTTATGGTTTCTATATATAAGTCCTTAAAAAGGTAGGTTATTTTGGGCCACAGGTAGGTTTAGGCTTCAGAGATTAGGTTTAGGGTTTATAGGGTTCAGGGTTGAGGATTTGGGCTGAGGGTTTCGGGGTTCAGGGGGTAGGCTTTGGGTTTTTGGATTCTGGCAGGTGACGGGCGGTCTACGCATACATGAACTCATGAATGTATACAGAAGCCTGCTCCATGACCCATGACACAGCAAGGGCCGAACTCACGGACCTCGAAGGACAATCTTACAGCGAGAAAGCCCGCCATGACACCAGGAGTCCCTAATATAGGCGCCTTCATAATTGGAATAGGGTTCTGGGGCCCATTATACTATAATCATAACCCTAAGGGTCCAAGTGCCGATACTCTCCCAAATAGTAACCTACATAACTACTCTCCGAAACCTAAGTACCTGATTATTGGGTCCTTTGGACCCTTGGGGTAATACGGTGCCCTTCAAAAATAATGTTTGAGCATCTATATTACCTGTAGTCTCCATTGTAGTTCCTTTTTTTGGTTTAACAAATTATATATTAAGGATTTTATAAGGCATCACCAAAAAGGAACTACAATGGAGACTATAGGTAGGCCGGCTCAGGAGCCATGGGCCATCTGAAAGTGAGGACGGGAACTTGGAGGAAACATCTGGCGGGTTCACGAGGAGATCTATAGATACCTACAGGTGCGCGTAGGTTTTCCTAAGGCCAAAGGTGGAATGCCCAAAGCTTCTGACCAAAGACCGCAAACCCGAAACCTGAAACCCCTTATAAACGCCTTGAGCCTGAGCCTAAACCCCTACCTATAGTCTCCATTGTACTTCCTTTTTTGGTTAACCAAATTTATATTATAGGATCCTAACCATAAAATTGGTTAACCAAAAAAAGGAACTCCAATGGAGACTATTAGAGTTAAACAGCGAAAGCTCCAAACAGCTGTTGCTTTTGCGCAGGCTCGTGCATCGTACACGGTCCACTCAACAACCGAAAAACTGAGTTTAATATGACAAGGTATTCCAATATAACATAATACATATACAGATATATACATGTGTATATATATATATATGTATATGTATAATGTAGTCTATATATATACACATATATACATGTATA